TCTTCACCTTCCACTCACTTGACAGCCCACTCCAACCTGGCTTCCTGCCACATCAACAACTCTAGCCAGAACTCTCCTGAGTTCCAGCCCTGTGTGTTCAACCACCTACTTTCTACTTGAAATCTTTCCTTGACTGTTTTAGAGTTAACATGTCTGAGGCCAAATTCTCAGTTGTCTTCCCCAAAGAAGGCACTGGTGTTCTTCAGTGCCCCTAAGCCAACAGCATGGTCACCCACCCATGTCGGTGAGAAAAAAGCCCAAGAGTCACCTCCTCTCCTATGCCAAGTCCATACCATGGCTGACAGCTCTACTTACTACACACATATAGACCCCCTTCCTCCATCATAGCACCCCTCTAAAGTCGCCTTCATGTGCTCTTTACTAGTCTCTCTGAGTCTACCCTCACTCTTCAGAGACCACCCAATCCATTTCACATCCACCTAGTCATTTTTTAATATATAAATCTCATCAAGCTAATCCTCCACTCAACACCCTCCCTTGGCTTCCTCTATGCTTAAAGGACAAAATCCTCAACAGAGTCTCCCTTACTCTGGACATTTAGCATGTGTCTTGAGGATCTGAGAAGGCGTAGTCTTTCTGGAGTAGGTGTCCATGAATGAGTAAAATAAAGAATGAGAGGCACAGGCTGGGGTACTAGAAAGTCCTGACTGTGGGCCCCATGAAACTGCCAAGGTGGGCATGAGGAAGCACAGAGGAAAACAAGTCCAGCAAGGCAGGAGTCAGCAGAGTCCTGCCCCGGGTCCTCCCTCAGCCCACCAGACCACCTAATTTCCTTTTAATTGGTACCTAATGGAAGTGAATGAAACCCAATTGAGTTTTAATGTGTGCTCAAGTGCCAGCCTCAATCTGCTTCCCTTCTCTCAGGGTCTGAGGCTTTCAGTTAGGAGAGACAGGTTGTGGAGGCAGGGGCAGGAGAGGAAACACATCCTTCCCCCAGCCCTGCTGAGACAAGCCGGACACCAACTCATAGGTATCCCCAGGACCTTCTCCTACTGCACCACACCTTCTCTGTGCCCACTTGTATTCTCAGAATATCTAGATTTCAGGCTTGGGACCTTGTGACTGTTATTCCTGAAATGTTAACTTCATTGGATTAAAAAATGCCTAGCAGATTAGTAGAGCATGACCCTGGGTGTCTGAGTGGGTCTTGGAGGTGTGGACTAGGGTGCTATGTATAATCCCGTGCCTGTTCCTCCTTGGCACTGTTCCCCCATTCTGCTTCCTGGCTGCCATGAACTAAGTAGCTTTGCTCCACCATATTCTTCCATGATGCCTTGGAGCCAGCCAGCCAGGGACTGAATCTCCTAAAATCATCCATTAGATTAAACCTTTCCTCCTTTAAGTTGTGGGTCTCAGCAAGGGGAAGGTGACTGATACAGAGCTCCTTTGAGCTGGCACTGTACTAAATCACTTCCTGGGACCCTCTCTGCGGTGCATTGAGACAGGTCATGTTGAGGTACTTCCTTTTATCAGAGGACATTGAAAAGACTTGCCCAAGGGAACCACTTTTGCTCTGCCTAGAGCTGTGCTGTCCAGTGTGGCAGCCACCAGCCACAGGTGAGCATGTGCAATGTGGTGAGAAAGAATTGAGATATGAGTGTACGGAACACATACGAGAGTTCAAGGACTTAGTACAAAAAAGGACTGTAAACTATTTAGTAATGTTTTATATTGATTATATGTCAAAATGAAAATTTTAATATATTGGGTTAAATCTATTATTAAAATTAATTTCAACTTTTAAAACTTTTAAAATGTCTAAATTTAAAAAAAAATTGTATATAGTTTATGTGGTATTTTTCGGACATCCCCTAGGGGTAAGGTAAGGATGGTCTGCTCCCTCAGGACCACACAGTCTAGAAGACAAGAGAGGCTGTTGCTGACCTTGGGTGCCATCTTGCCTCCTTATTTCCTGGAAGAGAAGCCCCACTCAGGACCCCGGACAGAGTCCATTTGCGGTTCCATTTGTAAGATCGCACTGAGGCCCCGGAAGGAATAACTGCAGGAGTCAATAACACCCACAAAATGTTTCTCAGCTTTTGGGGGAGGGGCACTAGGGAGTGTTGCTGGGGATCAAAGCTAGAGCCTCCCACTTGCTAGGCAAGTGTTTTGCCACTGAGATACATCCACAGCTGCCTAGCATGTACCAGGGGAGAGATGGGGTGGGGTGGAGGGACAGAGACAGAGAGAATGAATCATCTCAAGTCATGCTCTGAATACCTGGGTAGAGATTATCAATATTCCCACTTTGCAGATGAGGAAACCGAGGCTCAGAGAGACCTGTGTATTCTGTCCTCTCATTCAATAGAGGTCTGCTGAGACCTGCTCTATGTGGCCTGGCTGCATGCATACACAGGTAGACACAGGTGATAGCTATTCTGTGTCATCAGTGTGGCAGTGGCAGTGTGCACCAAGGCTGGTGAGGCCCCAGTGAGTGCTGACTGGTGGGCTGAGCAGGGCAGTGGCCCTGCCTGATCCTGCATTTTGGAAACACTTAGGCCACTGATGAAGGGCTGGTGAATGGAAGCTGAGAAAATAAGGACAATGAGGTTAGAAACTCAAGCTCAGGCAACTGGGTGTGGGGGTATACACCTGCAACCCCAGCACCCTGGGAGGCTGAGGGAGGATTACAAATTCAAGCTCAGCCTGGATAATTTAGTGACCCTCTCTCAAAAAAGGGAGGAGGAGCTGGGATGTAGTTCAGTGTGAAAGCCCTGAGTTCAATCCCTAGTATTGGGGTGGGGGGAAGAGGGAGAAGGAGAAGGAAAGGAAGAGGGGAATAAAGGAAGAAGAAAGAGAAAAAGAAATTCAAGCCCCAGGAACAAATGGCGGGTTGTTAGAAATTGGCCCAAATGGAAGGGCTATCAGGCCAATTCATTTTACAAATAAGGAAACCCAAGTCAGACAGGATCTAATCCTGGTTCAAGGTCAAAGAGCAAGTCTGGGCTGGGACTCTGGGGTCCCTAGGGGCACAGGCTCCACCCCAGGAAAGCTCGGTCTTAAAGTGGGGGGTCTTAAAGCTGTCAGAAGTGTCTGCTGGCAGGTGAGGTTGCTAATGGAGCAGAATCAACAAGGCAGACACCCAACTTCCTACTCAAACCAGATGCAAAGGAAGAAAGTACAAGAGGGGGAGGGCAATACCACTGCAGTTCAGCCCAGCCTGTGAAGTCCACGGCTGGGAAGGAGGGGCCAAGAGCATAGGGAAAGGCACTAAGAAATCCATTAGGTGGTGGCAGGGGTGTCTTGGAGATGTGAGCCCAGCTGGGACATGGAGTGGGATCTACTGGCACAAGGTCAGGGACTGGGCTTTGTTTGTGCAAGCCTATCACCCTCCTTCTAGGAAGGAGTCCATTTCTGAAGATCTGCTCCCCCTCCCTCACTGCAGGAGCTCCTGAAGGGGCTGCCAATCACAGTGCCTAGAGCCAATCAGAGGCCTTCTTTCTTAGGAGTTTTCTAATTGAATTCAAGAGGAAAGTTTCTTCCCCTCTGGAGACAATACTGAGTAATGGGTGCTGAGAGGAGGAAGCTTGGTGGGCCCAGGGGATGAGGAATCCTGCCTAAAAGAAGGAAGCCCACACACATAGTGAACTGGGAGGGGATGGACATCATCTGAGGTGGGCCAGCCCCACATGCACACAGCTTGTGCCTAAACAGGCTGGCATTGGATTCTGCCTCTTCCAGCCACATCCCAGTATAGTCAATTATAAGCTCTGGAAGTTTGGAAAGTCACATCCCCTCGCTGAGCCTCAATCTTCTCATTTGTAAAATGCAGGAGTCACAACACCTGTCTTCCAACATCACATGAAGTAGTGCTTTGTACAACTTAAATGCTGGAGCTTCCTGAGGGAAGGGAGGTGGAGGAGTCTCCAGAGCACTGAGGGCCAGGAGCACAGACCTGGGAGGACTCTGCTTACACACCACTTCTGGCCAAGGCCCACCTCAGACAGGATTCAAATGGGACTGACAGGAAGCCTGTGCCATCAAGGGCTGCAAAACTCTGGAGAGGCCTCCACCCCTCCTCCAGACCCCTCAAGAAGGCCACTAGCTGCTGACACTCCACTCCAGCCATCTGTCCCTTTTTCCTTGACCCTCATCCGGACTCCTACATCACCTAATCCCTCCCTCAGCCCTCCAAGTAACTGAGTTATACTTCAGAGTCCCTTGGACCCTGCTAACTGTGCCCTGCTCCAGGTGCTGTCCAACTTTAGAAGAGCCATGTCACCACACTGCAAGACATTTCCACATACTGTTCCTCTGCACCCTCTTCCTGGGTACTCAGGGCTGAGCAAGTGTCTACTCACTCAAGTGTGTAAGACTGTAATCCAGCAGTGAGTCTCCAGGCCCTGCCCTCTGGCCCCAAGCCACCCTGGCTCTTCAACCCCACACCTACTGGAAGCCAGCCAGCCTGAGGCTCCTCCACAACCAGCTACTGTAGCTCCTGCAGCCTTGAGGCTCATGTGTCAAGAAGCTGACCTGAAGCTCCACCTCCAGCAAGCCTGGGTTTAAGACCCAGCTCTGCCTGACTGTGGCCTTGAGAAAGACTCTATCTCCGGCCTCATTTTCCCAACCTACAAAATGGGCAACTGAACACCTCCCAGCAAGGCGTCGTGAGGGGCTGAGGGTCACGTGTGTAAAGCTCCTGGGATACACCTGACCCCTTGTGCCTCACAGCAACCCAGTCCAGGCAGTTCTGGCCTCTGTGCCCCAGTGAATGGCAGCCACAACCATGGCAGTAACAGGGGAAAGCCAGTCATAGAGTCCCAACCCATAACCCCAACCTTCTCACCCCAGCCCATAGCGGGTCACCCAGGGAGCCAGCAGCAAAGATGAGGTCAGAGTCCAGCCAGCTCCTCCCAGTCAGGGCTGGCCTGAACCCATCACACACTCTGATGAGACCAAGTGAGGTGAACTAAGGAGATAGAGGGACAGTCAGGTCCAAGGCCGGGCCTACACCTGGAGGAAACAAACAGCTCAGCAGCCAAATCCACAGAGTGAAGTTTATTCCCAACAAAGTTCCCCTTCCCCCTCCCCAGCCCAGGACAGGGACAGACAGGCTGGGGCAAAGATGGGGCTCCAGTGGCTGAGGGGCCTTTGAGAAACAAGGAGGTACCCTGGCCCCCAGGCTACACCATGTCTGGCTCTCCCAGCCTGGCTGAGTCCTCTGTGCCTCCTGCCCAGCCCTCGGGAGGGGGAGGGGGCGCTGGCTCCCGGGTAGTTCCAAAGTGAAGTGTGAAAATAGAGAGATATATATTTCTGTGCAGTGGGCAGTCCGGTGTGGCACTCACACCTCTGTCTGGAAGTCGCCATCTGGTGGTTCTGTGGGCTCCCAGGCTGCTGCCCGGTGCAGGGTCAGCCGTTCTCGGGGCTTGGGGGGCAGTGAGCCCAGTGTCATAGATTTGAAGGTGCTCCAGCTCTGATGCCGCCGATGCTGGGACAGGCTGGGACGCTCCCCGGGGCTGGGCTTCTCCTGTGGAGAAAGCAGGAAGAGCCCGTGGCAAGGGGCAGTATCTTCTTACCCACCCACTGTTCAGGACAAACTGAGGATACCCCCAGAAGGCCAGTGTTGCCCAAAGTTATGGAGCACTCAGGGGTCAAAGTAGAGTAGAGTTCAAGTGTAGATTTGCCTGGCTCTAGTTGGGCCTCCTGACCATGCACCCATAGCGCCTTCTCACACCCTGCATAGACCAGAAAGATTGCTTGCATCCATCATGGACAACCTTTGGCGAGGCAGGCTGAGGCTGCCCAGGCAGGGTGAGAGGGCATGAATCCCTTCAACTGCCCCACCCCAGCCCAGGGGGACTCATGCAGCCTGTGCTCCATTCTCTGCCCCACCCAAGGACACACTCCAGCACTTCTACTGTCACTGGGGCCACAGGTCAGAGGTGAAACCCTGAGCTTCAGGTAGGGGCAGCCACAGAGGAGCCCTCACCTTGGCTGCAGACTGGCTGTGGTAGCGGTCGAAAGTGTGGAATTTCTGGTTGAGTTCATGGTACAGCTCCGAGTGCCGCTTCCGGGTATGCATCACCTTCTAGGAGCCACTGGACATCAGTGGAGTGCTCCCTTGGGCCAGCACCAGGGACCCATCTCCACAGCTCCTGCCTGGACCACCCAGCAGCCTGGGCCCCACCTCCCAGCCTCTGGGACAAGGCTGGCTCTCTCTCTGCCCCAGAGCCCAAGCCTGGGCAGGAGGGAGCAGTGGGAAGATCCCACAGAAACCACAGAGTCCTGGGGTCAGAGCCTGCAGTGGCCCCTCCAGGTACAGATGCTCCATCCCCTAACACACACTGCACTCACCTCAAAGTCCAGGTCTGAATATCGAAGCTTCTTCCGCTGGGAGGCAGCAAGGAGGAGGCAATGAGCAGAGGAAAGCATTTTACCACAGGCATAAGGCCCTGCAAACAGCCTGGGCCCAACCACACAAACTCATAACTCCCTGCCCCAAACTGTGCCACTGCTTCGTGTGCTGCCCATTACAATTTTGAACGTCATCCTTGACCCCTCAAACAGCTGCCATAGTTATTGCTACCTCCCACACAAGGAGCTCAGCACTGGGCCCTCCCTCAGTGGCCCAACCACGGGCAGGTGTTCACAGAACAAACCCACCATGATGTTGAGTGCACCCCTCTCCAATGCCAGCGTTGTTTTTTCTGTCTTTGTTATGCCTTCCTGTTTTTGCCATCTGTGGCAGGAGCAGGCACCAAATGTTCAAGAAACATTTTAATATAAAAACTAAACTTGTGACCCCTTTAGCTGCTAACTTAAATTTCTTTGAGAAGAAGTTAGGGAGTAGGTTTCCTTTTTTTCCCCAGTCTTTTTTTTGGGGGGCGGGCATACTGACGATTGAATGAAGCCCTTATGCATGGTTGGCAAGCACTCTACCACTGAACTACATCCCCAGCCCTTTTTTATTTCTTCTAAATTTTGAGATAGAGTCTCATTAAGTTGCCCAAGCTGGCCTGGAACTCAAGACACTCCTGTCTCAGCCTCCCAAGTAGCTGGGATTACAGGTATACACAATCACACCAGCTCAGGGGAGAAGATTTCTATGACGAACATGACCAGCCAATGGTTTCTGAGCAACAATGCTAGCCCTTTTCCCTATCCACATCCCCCTCATTCTTCCAACTAGAGTTCTAAAATGTTCTATAGGCCACTACCCATGGGCCATGGGCCATGAGCAACTGCCACTTGTTTGTTCCCAGTGATTCTCTGCATGGAGCTGGCTGGAGGGACGGGAAAACATCAACAAAAAACACCTGAGAAGGGCTACAGAGGGGCTTACAATATCTCAGGAAGAGAGGGGCTATTACCACAGGCCATAGATAGTGCTTGAGGCTGACTTCAGGATTAATAATGACTGTAACACCCAATTTTCTAGCACTTCCTACTTGCTCCACACAGAAATAAATGCCTTATATCATTCAATTAATCCTTCCAACAATCTTACAAAGACACTACTGTTATCCTCGCTTTGCACACAAGGAAACTGAGCCACAGAGAGAGTAAGTGATTTACTCAGTATCTCACTGCCAGTCAGCAGTGTCCAGAATGGAACCTGGGGTCATGTGATGCAGAGGTCCAGACCTCTGTTCTGTGGCTTCTCTAACAATTTAGTACCTTACCAGAGCCACAGTCTCCTCAAACGAGGACTCACAGTTGCCCCAAAGTAGGCATGAAAGCAAGAGTGAGGGAACTGAGAACTACACTCCCTCTGCATGAAGTCCAAGCCCATCTAAGGGATTCAGATACCCCAGGATTTCCCTGGAGCAGCCACAAGCCCCCACAGAGGGGGAAACACGCAGCATATACACCCTGGTGACTTGGGCTCAAGATGCTGCCCTGCGGAGGTTGATGGCCGTCCCTTTCTTCCTAGCTGCAGCCTGTGACTTAGACATGGTCCAGGCACACAATAAGCAGACCCCCTCCCTGTGCCCTGCCCCTCACCTCCAGAGAGCCCAGCTTCATGGTAGAGCCAGGCACTGTGCGGGGCATGGTCCGGCTGCGCTCCCCTGGCTCGGGCACTTGGCGGGCACTGGGGGTTGGCGGTGGTGGTTGGAAAGTCATCCCATAGGGGTTCTGGAGAGACCCATAGGCAGGGCCCAGCCCCAGACCCGAGTGGTCCACAGACAGGAAGCTGGGGTAGCCTTCGGTGTGGGTCAGTGCCTTGGCAGCCCGCCGGGGGGTCCCCTCGGGCCGGGCCCTGGGGGCATCCTCACCCCCTCCGCCCCCACTGCCAGGCTGCAGGCTCATAGTCCGCCGGGGCAGCACCATGTAGTCCCCCTCGGAGCCAGCCTCGGTTGGCCGCAGCCACGTGAGGTCCAGCTGCCGCAAGCCACCCTCCCCACACATGTACACAGGGTTGGTCTCCTGCGGGGGGGGTGGCTCGCCCAGCCCTGGTGAGGCTGCCATGGGCACCAGGATGTTCCCAGGCAGCGGTGAGAAGCTGAGGCCACCCTCAGGACCCACAAGGCAGGACTTGGGCTCCTCGTCCTCGTCCAGGGACAGGCGGGATAGTGTGCCCGTGATGGTGGACGGGTTGCAAGTGTTGACCTCCTTGAACAGAACTGAGGACAGGAGTGGGAGGGATGAGTGAGCTCTGAGGAGAAACAGCCCCCAGACTCCCTTGCCTGGGCTGGGCAAGTACCAAATCTGCCCTAGCACAGGAAGGGAAACTAAGTCCTGGAGAGTTGCTTGGGTGGTTGGTACTCTCACACACCAGAGGGGATAAAAGACACCTGGTTCAGAGGCCCATGGGGAGGTAGAGCTCCCACAGGGGCCTAGTGCACATCCTGACCTCTACCCTACAGCCCAAGGCTGCCAAAGGGCCCTGTTCCTCCCACACCCTGGGCAGCACCTCCCCAGGAGACAGGACAGGAAGCTGCTCCCCAGATGTATACAGTAAGTGGCCTTCACATCCTTGACCCCACCTCAGGGCTGCCTGATGTCAAAGCTGGACTCCAGCAGCCATGCCCCCATCAGGGCCTCCCATGATGGGGCCTGGGCCCCCCTTCTTGCCCATCCCTGGAGCTGCTGTCAGCTCTATCCCAGCAGACTCACCTGTTTGACAGGCCAGATCCACATCCTTTTCAAAGTCTGACTATAGGCGGAGAGGCAGAGAGCAGATGGGCAGAGGGAAGATCAGTGTATCAGGGGAAGGGGAGCTCGGGTCCCCATCCCCAGCTCTGTTCAGTCTGCCCACCAGAGGTGCTTCCAGTAGCACGCTGCCCAACAAAGCCCAGCGGGGCAGGTGGGCAGACTGAATGGGGAAAGTTCTTGCCCAATGCCACCCCACTGTCAGTGTCTGAGTGTCAATCAAACCTGGTCTCTGCCCCATGCCCCTGTTTCAGGGAAGGTGAGTGGCTTAGGGCAGGAGGAGGGGGTGGGATAATTAGGCCTCCTTACTCACCAGGATCTGCAGCTGCCCATTCTTACATGAGTCAGGGGAGTCTTCACTCTCATCGGCCCGACACACACCCATCTGGCATTTTACCACATCCTGGACCTAGGAGCAGAGGGCACTTGCTGGGCCTCAGGTCACTGCAGGCCCCCAACTGCCACTGGTTGTGTCTCCCACCCTAGGAGCCCTGGCACACAGGCAGGTGTGAAGAAAAGACATGCATCCGGTCCCAGGGAAGATGATAACACTGGGCTGGGCTGAAGGGAAGAAAGGGCCCCAGGAGGCCAAGCCAAAGCTGCCCAGATGATCAGCGTCTGGCACCCTGGGCTGCCCAGCTGGAGCCGGAAGCAGCCTGGTCAGTCCTCAGTCCCCCTGGTCCACTCAGTGGGAGAAGCCAGAGGCCTGGCAGGGTATGATGGCCAGGCAGGGGTGGGAGAGGCCCAGCCCACCTCTCGGCGCAGGAAGCAGTGCACAGCGGTGATGACAAAGCCTTGTGCAGAGTTGAAGACAGCAAAGAGGGCCTGGAAGAGGACGGAGCGGCGGTCTGTCATGGCCAGGACAGCAGACATCCAGGTGAGCGCCAGAAGGGGCAGCACTACACAGGAGCTCCAGAGTGAGGCCCTGTGACAAGAGTGGCAGAGGGTCTCTCAGAGTGACACGCTAGGGGACAGGGTGGCAGGAGCCTAGGCCTCCACTTGACCTGGGGACTGGTAGGGCCCCAAATTCCAGGACCTCAGTAGTGTCCCCAAGTAGAGAGCCATGGAAACAGAGAACAGAACTGTGGGTCAGAGCAGGGGCCAGGAGAACTAAGAGAGACAATACAGTGGGACTGAGGCAGGGACAGAGGCAACATCAGGAGACAGAGACAGAGAAGGTGGGAAGGAAGAGGGGAGAGAAGCAGAGGCAGGTAGATGCAGGCATGAGGACTGTCAGCCCCAATTTCCCCAGAATCACCTGGGGAGCTTTGTGAAATACACAGGCCAGGGCTACATCCCCAGAGATTCTACTTGGGTAGGCTGAGAGAGGAGGAAAGAAAGAGGGACAGGGAGAGAGATGACAGCCATGGTGAGAGAGAGAGTATGAGACAGAGACACCCAGACAGAAAGATTAAACAGGCAGAGCACGAGGAGGATGCCAGGGCACAAATCCTTGGGGAGAAGATGGGGCCAGCACCGGCAAGGCAGAGGCTGTCCACCTGGGTCCCCTCGGAGGAGCTGCCTGGCTCCCAGCGGCTGCTCAGAGCCCTGGGCAGCAGGGTTATAGCTAATCTGGGGGTAAAAGCTGAGGTCAGGGCCAAGCCTACACACTCCAGCCTCTTTGCCAGGGGAGAGCAGAGAAAAAAGGGACAGGTCCTGGCTTCCCGGCTGCACCCCACACACACACCTGTTACAGACACGAGGGACAGGAGGGCTGCCTCGCCCTACTGGGCCGGTGCCATACCCGGCCTACCTCTGCCCACAGCACTCGGCAGGTGGGGGGAGTCAGGCACAGCTCCAGACAGGTCAGAGATAGCTGGGGAGGCCAAGGCAGAGAGATGGGCAGGGGGGCAAGACCTGTCCTAGGAAGAGTGACTCAGGGCTTTTCACCCCCGTAGGGAGCAGGCACAGTGGTCTCTGAAGCTCTTGGAGGTGGAGCTAAGATCAAGAGAGGGTCTAATCACAGTAATAAGAGCTACCATTGATTAGTCACCAATTCTGTGCCAGGCCCTATACTGAACACTTTACATACATTATTTCAAATTGTGATCAAAACAACTTCAATAAACAGGCCTGGGGGCTAGTATCTCGATTTACAGATGAGGAAACTGGAGTGTACCCAGCTGGGCAGAAAGAAAAGAGCTGGGACACAAACCCAGCTTGGCTGACTCCAAAGCCCAAGCCTTTAACTGCTGGTTCAGCAGACACGACAGGGAGGCAGATGGCAGGGCAAGGCAGGGGGAGGTCTCCACTCCTCAGAGCTCTGCAATGACAGTGCAGGAGGCCTCCAGGGGTCCCGGAGGTGTGCGAGATAAAACTGGACCTCCACTGCTCAGGGAGGCTCAGATGGACCTGCAGCCCTGGGGGCAGGGTGGGCCCGAGCTCTTGTGGATCCGTTCTACTCTTGCATGTCTCAGTTTTAAGATTCTCGGCTTCTGGGGGGTGGGAATGGGTTCCAGTGAAGTACTTGTCTTCCTCCATGACTCTGTCTCCAATTGATTTTAAGATTCAATGCCTCTGAATTCTAAGTCTCAGGATTCTATGACAGATGATAAGTCCATGATTCACTCATTCTAACAGTCTTAGCTTCTGATTGTCTTATTCTAAGATTCTATCATTCTAATTCTAAGGTTCCATAGCTCAAGAATTCGAAAGGCCTAAGTCTCTGAGCCTCTGTAGGTTGGTGTTGTGAGGAGGAGGAGGAGGAGTCTGTGGCTGTGCCTGGATAGAACATTAGCCAGGAGCAGGGGCAGGGGTGGGAGGGATGGGTGGGCGAAGGAACCCAGCACCTTGGGGAGACACAGACAGTCGCTCCCCATCGCTCTCTGCCACCTTATCCCGAGCCTTGGAAAGTGCATGGCAGTAGGAGGGCAGGCCAAGCCCTCCAAGGCACTGGGCTGATGATATCCCTCCCTCCTCCCACCCTGGGCACTGTCCCCCCATTCCTTTGCCCCAACCCACCCCCCACCGCCCCCCAGGGGACACGACTAACATGGCGTTCCTGGCCGAGGCTGAGCTGAGCAGGGGGCTGGGGACCGCTCCACACGCTGAGCAGGGGAGGAGCAGGCTGGCCCAGGGGCACCGCTCCGACCTCAGGGGCGGCACAGACATGGGAGAAGGGGGAAACACATGGGAAGCCGGGAGACAGGGGCAGAATGAGCCCCGAGAAGGGTGGGAGGGGAGGGCAGACGAGAGAGAGAGAGCTGGGTTAGGGTGGGTGAGGGGCTGCAGCTGAGCACTCCCGGTGCCCACCTTGCCTGCACCCTTGATGCACCAAGGTTGGGGAGCCCCAGTCTGCATCATCAAGCCCTGAGTCTCCAAGAGTGCCCTCAGCCCTCCCTCCCTGCACCATTTCCCAGAAAGGCCAAGTCCCAGAGGCCTTTCCTTACCCAGCCCTCTGCTTCTTGGATTTGTCAGAGATGCCATCACGTGCCATGAGCTTGTTGAAGACAATGATTCCGATGAGCATATTCACCTGGGGGGCCAGTGGAGTGGAGTGGGAGAAGACAGGATCATGAGGTGCCCTCATCATGAAACTCCCCAGTGGGAGCTAGAGGGCAGGGAGGAGGCAGAGGGATGGAATCCCTGGGGCCACATCCCTCCCAGAACCCTGAAAGGGGCACATACCAGGACAATGACAGCTGCAGGTCCCACAAAGGCATACAGCAGGCCACCTTCCAGGGAAAGCCAGCAGCTGGGGTAGGGGGAGAAAAAGGGGTGTCAGAAACCCAGCAGGCTCCTTCCCGCCCTCAGATACCACCCCTTGATCCCCAGGGCTGCCATGCCCACATCACTAATGGAGATCCAGCCTCAATGGGGTGAGATGGAGCCATTGGCCTTTGCTGAGCCTCAGTTTCCCCTCCAACGAAAGTCAAGAACATCAGGTCCAGCTCCTGGGGCTATCATAGGAATGAAATAGGCTGACCCGAGTTCAGTGTTCTTTGAGATTACCCAATCCCAGTAGCTTCTTTTTATAGCTGGGGAAACTGAGGCTCAGAGATAGAGAGGAACTTGCCCAAAGACCTACAACAGGTATAGACCAGGATCTCAGCCAGGATCTAAGTCCTAATGCCCAAGCCAAACCCTTAACAGACTCCCTCATCCTACCCCCACCTGCCACGGGAGGCCCACGTACTAGCTGGATGTACCATATCCTTTGGTGCGGGTAAAGCCAACAGACACAGCCACCACCAGGGCGGGCAGACCTGGGGGAGTGGGGGAGCAGGAGAGCCAAAGTGAGATGGCTGCCTGTGCTCAGGGACCCCTCATTCCTCTACCCATGAGTCTAGGTGACCCTGGTGCCCAGAGAGCTGGGCCTGCGCCAGGGCCAGAACAGAGCTCCCGGCTGCCCCTGCCCCACAAAGCCCAGCAGCAGAGTCCCGAACTGGTCCTGCTCACCCCAGCCCAGGCAGAGGAAGCGCTTGCGAACGAGGCGGGTGCGCATCCGCCCAATGACAGCCAGGTAGGACTGCCAGGCCTCAGTGAGTACCCAGCAAAATGAGGACAGAAAGAAGAAGTGCAGGAAGGCAGCCGTCATGGTACATACGCCCTGCAGGGACAGGGAACCAGAGGGAGTGGCCCTGAGCAGCCGCCAGGGCAGGAGGCACTGCTTCCCACATTGGCTGCTGGGCACTGTTGCGGACAGCCGCCTACCCGAGCGCCACCCCCAACAGAGCCCTGCCAGGCACCCCCGCCTTCCTGCACCCACACACAGCACGACACAGGCCTGGTGACACGCACACAGCACTTGGCATCCAGAGAGGCGGGTAGGCAGGCCACACACACACACACACACACACACACACACACACGGGGCTGACAGGGAGGGGATAGACAGGAGCACCTGCCACATCATGGCCAGGCAGGCCCCACACCTGGCACTCACAGTTCCAGCACTGTGCAAAGAAGGCCAAGGGGGCATGAGGGATACAGTCGCCTGGGTCATCCACAGGCAGATGGGAAAGGAGGCCTTGCAGATATGAGGAAACCCAAAGCCACCAGCCAACATGTGTGCACCTAAGTGCTCAGCTCACACACACGGTTCACTGCTGTACACAAACACTCATCACTGATTACACCTCCCTCCCCAATGCCCTCACGGATGCCCAAACACTACTTCCACATACCCTCTCCCCAGCGTGCAGCTGGACTGTACACACACACATCCACCCCTAGGACATCCCTACAAACACACCCACCCTCACCTGCACGCACCCTCCGCCCTCCCCTCGGCACCCCCCAGAGCCTGCACCTGCCTTGCTCAGCACCCTCGATTGGCCCACAAGGATCAGAATGTTGGAAGCCAGGATGGACAGGCAGAAGTTCAGCAGGATGATGGAGCGTTCAGATTTTATGAACCTGACAGGGCACAGTGGACAGGGGCAGAGGTGCTGGCTGCCTGCCTGACCTGCAGTAGCTGGCCACCTGCTGCCCTGCCCAACATCCAACCTACCTCCAGAAGGCAGCGTAGATGGCAAGCAGCGTGAGCAGGGCCATGCAGGATACGGCACAGCCAATCACCAGGGGGACCGAGGGGGCACCTGCCAGCTCCAGGGTCTGCAGGAGATGGGTTTCTGGGCAAGGGCACAGCAGGGTGCCCAGTCTCCCTGTCTGGTGTAGACTGGCATACCCAGGTATAGAGGGCACATGATATTATTCTCACATGAGCAAGACCAAGCCAGATCCCACAAGTGGGTGCATTTTTACTCCCAGTCACACACACTCTTCCACACACAACCAGGCACACACATGTGCACGCCCACACACAATGTCCTGCAGGCAGGTGTCCTGGGTATGAGTATCATCCCAGGGGCACAGGCTTCCATGTGCAATCCTGCAAGTATGCCTCCACCGAGGCATATTAAGGATCACTCGGATGCGCAGCAATAAAGTCACAGATGGCCCCTTGCAGCCCAGGGGCTTCCTCCCTTGCCCAGCCAGGCTCCTGTCTTCCACTCACCAGGTCCTTCGGCGGCTGGGCCAGGACAGCAAAGGTAGACAGGTGCTGACACTGGCAGCGGGTGTGGGCTGCCTGGGTCTCCAAGGTCTGGCAGCTCTCAGTGTCCCAGTCCCCCGAGCTGGCATCTCTTGGGTGGGGGAGAGGTGGTGTGAACCCTGAGCCCAACTCCACAGCCCCACCAGTGCTGGCCACTGTCCAGGGACAGGTGAAATCCTGGGCAAAGCCACATCCATGAGGGGTTAGGAGGGAGCACCAGGATGTGCTCTTGATCCCTCCAGACCAAGGATGGCACCAAGGAACCCTCTGGCCACCCAGGCAGAAGACTCTTCCTGATGAGGGTTCTAGGGCTGCACCCTTCCTCATCCCGAGCTGCCCCCAACTCACGCTCTGGAGTAGTCCCAGCTGGCACAGTGGGGATCTGTGGTGCCCTGGGGAACAGAAGACACGCGTGCAGTCTAGGGTGGGGAGCTCACCACCCATGACCACCACCATCCTGCCACAGCAGCTCTTATTCCCAGGTCAAGGTTCAGCCCAGAACTGAGGACAGACCATGTCTATCGGACACACCTCTGGCCACCTAGCTGGGGTAACCTCAGTGTCCCTGCCTGGGCCCCCACTCACATTGATGATGTAGGAGAGCTCCACTGTGATAAGGGGCTCAGCTGGAGGCTGGGTGGGGGGTCGCACAGTCACTGTCATCACCCGGGAGGTAACAGCTAGTGGAGGCCTGGGGGACAGGAAATGAGGTCAGCTCCTGCCAGCAGGTGTCCAGACCAATGAGAAACTCTGAAGCTGCTTTGGATGGGTGTTGAGAGCTATTAGGGCTTCAGGCCCATGGGAAGAGCTCAGTGTGGCCCTGGACTCTGGGTGAGGTCTAGAGTGCCAAGTCCTGGATGCCAGCACAGCCTGTGGGAACTGCATGGATGTCTTTGAGAAACAACCACGTCCAGAGCCAAGTGAAGGGTCCCCGAGGGTGCAGGGCAGCAGGTGCATCACTCTGCTCAGGTGGACCCACCTGGGAGGTGGCAGGATGAGGCCCAGGGTGCGGTAGAGCACAGCACCGATCACAAAGTATGAGGAGTCATCAGGGTCTGCTGGGAGGAGACGCTGGTGCGAGTGGCCCGGACCAGGGGGCACAGTTCCTGGGCCCCTTCCTTTGCCAGGGGTGCCTGCTGCCCCAGGTGCAGCTGGATTCCCTGGGGAGGAGAGGCTGAGCACCTCCTTGGGCAGGAAGAGGCGGTCCTCTGAGTGCCGCACCCAGTCCTTCATGCCCCTGCGGCCCCGCATGGGAAACGTGATGTCACTGGACACAGCCGAGATGGGCTCTCGCTGAATGCTGATCACTGCAGTGGGAGGAGGGTGGGCAGAGTGCACAAGAGACAGGCCACAGGGGATAGACCCAAGGGAAGAGACAGACATGGGGAACACCCAGCAGGGAAGGCAGACACAGACATCGAGGGTGAAATAAACACAGGGAGGGGCACACGTACCCAGAGCCAGACAATGCAGAGATGGAGGGAAAACATGTGGAGAGAAAGATACAAGCATGGAATTAAATGCGGGAAAGAAAGGGCCCAGACACAAAAGACAGAAAACCAGGAAAAGCCCTTTGAAAACCACCCCTTGCCCACAGTGGTCAGGGCTCTGTCACCTCCAGCAACACCCGTCCCCCCCGCCGCCTCCTTGTACCCAGATTGTCCGTGACAATCAGAGAGCTCTGGAAGGCCTTGAGGGCATCGCCCACCAGGTGAATGAAGTCTTCCACGACACGAAGCAAGTGCACAGAGCCAGGGGACACCTGGGGACAGAAAGTGTGTAAAGCTGTGGGAATTCAAGGTGGGGAAGGGTCAGGAAAGAACCTGGAAGCTGGGCCTCACCTGCTGAGCATCATCCCACTTGTCCTTGTTCTCTTCATCTACCATGAAGCTCACTACCTGGAAAAAGCGCTAGGGAAAGAAAAAGTAGTTTTAGCCTGGGGGACAGGACTTCCCCACTGCACACTTGCCACCACCAGCAGCCTCTGCCTCAGGGCCTCAGCTTCCCCCTCCATTCAGTTTGGGGCCTCTCCACCCTCCTTCCTCCCAGCAGCACGGGGTGGTACCTGCACATCGTCAGCAGAGGGCACATAGGTGGCCCTTTTGAAGGTGTCAGTGACATTCCTCAGAATGTCCACAGAGAAGAGCAGGTCCCCACTATAGTAGGTGCGGCGGGCCAGTAGCTCCTGCAGGCTGCGCACCACTTGTGACATGCCTTCACCCGCTAGCATGCGCTGCCCCTTTGCCAGGTGCTCCCGGAGCTGCAGGTGACATGTGAGTCCCTGTCACTGGAGGGCCAGGTGGGAGCTGAGACCAGACCCTGACCCATCCCACTCCCATACACCCAGTGCTGGCAGCCAGGAGGACAGAGGGTGTACAAGATCAGAGAGATGCTCAAAGGGGCTCCCAGGGGAAACAGAGTTCAAGAAAGAGACTCAAAGAGAATCCTAAAAGATACTTTTAAAAGACTGCAATAGAAACACCTAGAAAAAGAAGGTGCTCAAATGTATATATCAAAGATGATAAGCCAGTATGTGGACAGGGCACCCCGTCCACCCAAAGGAGTCAGACACCTTCTAACATACAGTACACAACTACTCAGTCTCCTGTGCTCTCTCAATCACAACCTCCAAATGCAGAGACCAATCAATATCCCAAACAGTCAGAAATATGGACACATATATGCTGATACCATCCTAGCCCCATGGCAGGCCCTGGGCAGGATCCTGAGAACACAAAAATAAATTCAACTTTGCCCCTGTCTTTAAGAAGCGCCCCCAGTCTAGCATAGCACACGGACACTCAGATAAGCATTCTTGACACCTAATAACTGAGTAGCTCAGGGGGCTGTAGGAGCACAAGGGTAGGCACCACCATTAAGGGAAGATACTTGAGAGGTAGGCCTTGAGGTATGAGGAGTTTGCCAGACAAGGAGAGGCAGCAGTGGGCACAGCATATGCCAAGGCATGTGGGAATGATTAAGCCTTAAGCTTCCTCCAGCCCCTACCAAAGACTGGGACAGAGCATGTAGCACCCCAACCTGGCAGGGCACACTCACTGACAGATACAGGTAGCGGTATTCATGGGAGATGCAGCGGGCAAAGCTGGGCAGTCCCCAGTACGCCACACCCTGTGCACTGAGGAGACAGCGGCGGCTGGCAGACCCTGCAGGGGACAAGAGGGTTGGGCAAGGGAGCTGAGCTCACGTACTCCCTCCACACCTCAGGATGGAGAAGGCTGGGGGTCTGCAAGACAGTGACCTGCCCCTTACCCGTGGCATTGGGGGGGCACTTGTTGTAGATGATCTCGCCAGCCGCCGCCTTCTTCCACGTCATCAGCATCACATACTCATCCCTGCACATCTCATGGAAGGCTGCAGGTGCAGGGGAGGGGCTCAGCTGGGCTCACACACATGCCCCCTCCCCACTGGGGCAGTGCAGGCATACCTGGACACCTCTTCTCACTGCATGGCTTCACCTCCTCTCCAGTACCCTCGCAGGGGTAGCCCTGTGTACCTGAGGCCTGGCACATGCGGAAGCGGCGCTGCCAGCCTGTGTCACATGTCTTGGAGCACAGACTCCATGCATTCCATGGCCCCCACTTGCCATCAGTGGCTATGAGAGAGGGGAAGGGTGAGAGGCTACAGGTGCCCCCAAGACCAGGCTTGCCACCTGCTACCCTCACACTGAGCACTCACCAGGGCACTCGAGATTGTTGCACTCGCGGGTGTCAGTGAGGGCACCTGTGCACGTAGCCCAGGATGGGCCTGCCACACTGCACTTCCGGCTGCGCTGTTGGGTCCCATTGGCACAGGATGAGGAGCATGGGCCCCACGGACCCCATTCTAGCCACTGGCCTTCCACTGCATGGGGAGACACAAGCAGGGGTGGTCGTTGAGCAGAGCACAGGTAGATTGGCAGGGGCAGAATACCACAGGGAGACCGCAGTGCCTGCTTGGCACTTGGACCTATGCCAGGCCAGCCTCACTTTGTAGGTGCACGAAGGGGTCAGGAGTGAGCAAGCAGGTAGTCCCTGGGCCTTATCCTGCCCGCCTGTCACCAGCTCCAGGAAGACAGGACACATCTTCACTCAGCACCGAGGTGCAAGTCCTCTTCTGGCTAAGGACATGGGTCTGATCTTTGCCCACTCTTAAGCCCACCTTTGTGCTCTCTCACAGTCCAGCTGCCCAGGAGCACCAAAATGCTTTTGACAGCAGGGGCAGCCAGGGCTTATAGGAAGAGGTGCTGGCAAGTAGCCTCCTTTTGATGGGGTCACAGAGTGCCAAGCCCAATCAGGGATGGGGCTCACCTCCCACACTGGCAGGTATACTTCTCCAGTCTTCCCCATGCTTGGTCAATGTTCATGGGGCCCCCTGGGGCAGGGCTGTGGACCTGACTGTCTCCCCTGGGTCTCCCGACCCCCAACCCCACCCAGCTGGGCAGCGCCTGCCTATAAGCCCCCAGGCGCTACTGACCCGGGCAGGCGGCCATACTGCAGAGCTTAGTCTGCAACTCGGGACCCTCGCAGGCCTTGCCGCCGTGCTGGGGGGGCACGCAGGTCCGCATCCGGCTCCGAGACCCCCGCCCGCAGCTGCGGGAGCACAGGCTCCAGGACCCCCACTCCTCCCACACGCCGTGCACTGCAAGGAAGCACGTGGCCGGTGGCAGGGCAGCACCTTGGCCCTGCCCACTGCCATCGCTTGCCCATCCGCCCACCAATCAGGAGCTCCGCAACTCTGTGGCCACTCCTTATTGGCTCTGCCCTGGGGTTCTACTGCCAGGGCGATCTCTCAGTCCCCAGGACTCGGCCCTTTGAGGGAATGTGGAAGACACAGGCTTCTGGTCCCAAGTCATACAGGGCAGATCCTGTGGAGACCTGGATGAGGAGAGTAGGACCAACCCAGGAGGGCAACCAGGCATCTTCCTCTCCTGCTCTCCTGAGGGCGCAGGAAAAGACCCAAAATCCACCCCACTCTACCCTTCCCACCCCCAGACCCACAGCCTGAATCCAACATGGCAGGCCTGGAGCAAAATGCCCCTCCCAGCCCCAAGCTCACAGACACACAAATAGACAAGAATCTCTACATGGACACTGATACACTGAGCTCACATGCTGGAACACAGCTTTCCCCCAGCCCTTTGCAAGCACCTGCCACCCCAGGTATCAAGAGCCCTCCCAGGTAGACCCTGCTCTCAGTTCACAGCCAGGCACCATTATACCCTCAGGGAACAAGAATAAGACTGGCTGCCCTGCCACTCACCAGGCAGGCACATGCATTTTCTCAACAACTACATGCTTCCCTATAGAGGACCTAAGGGTCTAGGGGAGGTTCCTGGAAGAGACACAAGCCCAGATCAGGGAAGAGACTGTTGGGAAAGGCTTCATTTAAAAAGAAAAGTGGCATTCATCTTAGATCCTCAAGGACAGGCAGAATTTTAATAGGCAAGGTAGGGAAGGGAGGGTAAGACAAGAAGCAGCAAATGCAGGGAGGTGGGAAAGTTCAAGAGTGCTCATGAGGCCAGGGCTGGGAAACACAGAGGGCAATGTAGGTCAAAATGAGCCTTGTCTATCAGGACATGGGCATCAGAGGAGCGTGGTGCCGAGAACTGAGCCCAGCGGTGTGGTCAGATTCAGCTGTGTCCCTCGCCAGGCTGGGATGGTGCATGGGGCTAAGCATGGTATGAGGGACAGGCAAATTTGTTGAATGAAAGGAAGGGCCAACCAAGCATTTTTGGAAGAGTCATGTCCCAGGTAGGACCTAACCCTGCAAGCACTCGGGGCAGGGAGGAGGATGGGCCTACCTGGGCAGGTGGCTGAATTGTTGCAAGGCCGGGTCTCCCGCAGGGGCCCGCTGCACAGGGTCCCATAGGGGGAGGACACGCAGGAGCGGGTCCGCACCTGCAGACCCTGCCCACACGTCAGGGAACACACGCTCCACGGGGACCATTCCTCAGCCGCCGGGTCGCCTACGAGAAAGGGACAGTGTCGGCGGCAGCGGGCACTTCCCAGGCCCTCGATTTCATGGAGTGGAGGAGCACCACCAAGATGGGCGCAGGCATCACGAGGACCCTCCTACCCTGACCCCAAGTGGCAGGCTCTCTGAGAAGCAACCCAGCCCTGCTCACAGGCCTTATGTGGCAGAGAGATGCAACTGAGCTCCAGGACATAGACACAGACGGGCACACACCAAGCACACACGCCATCAGACGCCACACAGTCGGGCCCCCGCCACAGAGGGAGGGAGGCGGGCCCGAGTTACCTGTCTGCGCCATGTATAGCCCAGGCTCATCTGCAGACCTTGGCCACTGGGTTTTCACCTTCGGTTCCTCTTCCGGCTCCTCACCTGGAACACGGAGGTGGCGGCAGGGGCTCAGCAAAAACCAGCTCAGTCCTGCCACAGTGCCACAGAGGGCAGCCTTGCTGGTCCTCAGCCTGAGGGCTTGGAACCAACTGCAGGTGATGCAGAGAGAGCATTACATCCTGCCCTCTGCCCCCTGCCACCATTTTACAGATAAGGAAACTGAGGCTCAGAAGGCCAAACAGGACTGGCCCTCAGTCTTGCAACCACTTCTTGCTTCAGCCAGACAGGGAGACTGGAGACTGCTCATATTTTTTTATGAGCTTGGGGAAGCATCAGTGCTGAGCCTGCCCATACCTGTCTCCTTCAATCCTCTCGCCAGAAGAAAGGAGAATCTCTGTTGAGAGGGGAAGAAACTAGGACCAGAGAGAGGGAGTGACTTGGCCAACAGCACACAGCTCAATGAGCCTGAAGCTCAGGCTCTTTCCCCTCAAAGGGCTAACTCTCCATCCCACACCTGCTTCCGGGACACAGCTCATGCTGGGCCTGGGGCCAGGCCCAGGGCTAACTCTGCTTCCCAAGCAGTCCTGGACTGTGACCTGGAAGCACAGGTCAGAATGAGGCTCCTCTGAGACCTGAGGGCCTAGGCCTGGGTCTACACCCAGCAGACCCTCCTTCCACTGCCCCTGCGGCTAGGAGAGCAGCAGGTGCTCTAAGAGGCAGCTGCTGCCTCAGCCCCTGACCATGCTGAGCTCTCAGCTGCCTGGATTTATGTGTCTGGTCTAGGGCTTGACAGCTCCACCAGCCCCACAGACTTCATTCTCCCAAGCCTGCCCTGCATAGATAGGAACTGCTCCAGGCCTCTCCTTGTGAGCTCTACTTTGGATCTGGAAAGTTCCCCATGTGTTAAAGGATTGGTCCCCAGCTCAGCAACACAAGGAGGTGGTAGAAACTTTAAGTGGCAGGGCTTAGTGGAAGGTCTTCCAGTCACTGGGAGCATGCCCTTAAAGGGGATAATAGGACAACCCCTACCCTTCCTTTTCCTCTCGTTTTGTTTCTGGCCACGAAGTGATTGGGCTTCCTCCACCACACCTTCCCACTGTGATGTGCTGCCTCGCCACAGGCCCAAGAACAACAAAGCCAACTGAATATGGACCAAAACCTCCCAAACTGTGACTCAACATAAACCATCCCACTTAATAAGCTGATTATCTCAGGCATTTACTGTAGTGTGGGAGGCTGAATAACACCCTCAGAGTAGTAGTAGGAGTGAGGGGCAGACAGGAAAGCAGAGAGAGAAGGCCTGGCTGCTGGGCAGATGGGACTGAAACAGCACTGGGAAGAGGGTTCACCCATGCTGTCCCAGAATAAAGGTACTGGTTGTCCCTTCTCCCAGTTCTCCCCGATCTCTGAAAGCCGGGTCAGCCCCGAGCAGGGACCCAGAAGAGCTGCACTCCTCCTGCCCCCTGCCACCCAGCCCCAGCTCTGCACCAGAGATAGCCCTCCCTGACCTGCCCCACAGAGTGGCCACCCCAAACAAATTCACTGCCTGGCGGGCTCCGAGCTGCCCCCTCATCTCCAGTCTCATCAACTCATGGGCCTTTTCCTCCACTTTAGCCACCAGTCCCAGAGCCTGAGACACTTCATCTTGGAAACTTCACCATCTTTGAAATCTGGCACATGCTCTCTCCCACAGCAACCCTGGATCCTGACTGTGAGAACCCTGACAAGCAGTGCAGCATTGGGCAAGTCTCTTCACCTCTCTGATCCTGCCTTCTCTGGAAAGCAATATTCATAATCCTCCAACCTCAAGGACTGACGTAGGACCCTGACAGAAGGCTGTGAAGCTCTCCGCACCATGCCTGGCACGTGGAAAATGCTCAGAAGACAGTGACTCTCTGTTTTATTTTTATCATCTCTCCTCTTCTCACAACCTCCGCCCCCTGTCTCAGTTCCAAGCCGCCCTTCAGCCCCTAACACTCCTCCTTTTGAACAGCTTACATGGTCCCTCGGGCTTCACTGTGGATCTTACCTCTAACGGGCCACAGAAAAGGCTCGCTGGGCCACACCTGCCAGCTCCTCACTCCCTTTGCCCATCCCCTCTGCCACACCCGCTCAGTGTCCCCAGTCTGGAGCCTTGTGACAAGCCACCTTCTCCACGCCCACTCCCAGGCTGCTGAAGAGCCTACAGCTGTGCCAGCTGGCACCATGACAGATTCCGGGTTCCACGTGTGCTGAGTGCCCTCCTGAGCTTCCCTCCTTCCACACACCCCTCCGAGGTCACACTGGACCTCACTCATCCTCTCTCCTCAAGCCCCCATCCTCCCACACACTCAGCACGACCCCTTTCCAGAGCAAGCAGAACCTCAGATACCCGAGTACCAGCTCCCAGTCCTGCCAAGAACCTCTGCACAAACTCCACCCTGGCTGGGTCCTGCGTTGCTCCTTCGCCTTCACAAGAGGGCTCGACCACAGTCTCCTCTTTCGTCAGCCTGCAGACTGCATTCTCTCCCCTGGCAGCCCATGGACCCACTCAGGCCTCCTGCATTCTGGGGGCCTCCCCAAACCCTCCTTCCTCCTATGGCTGCTGCCCACTGGCTTCCTTCCACCAAGGCATGGTTCCCAGCTGCCACTCCACTTTCTCACCTGCCACTCACTTCTCAGCTCAGATGTCACCTGCCCTGTTGATCCACTGCAGTCTGGCTGCTGCCCACATCTTTCTGCTGAAACTGTTCTTGACAAAGTCATCAACGCCGTCTTGCGCCCACTCCGTGGACATTCCCAGGCCTCGTCTCACTTGACCCTCTGCAGCAATTGGCCCTGCTCAGCCTTTCTGCCTTGAAACCCTCCTCTCCCTGGCTCTTCTGGTTCCCTCTGACCTCTCTATAGGGCTATTCTGTCCCTACTGCCTGTCTGGTCCTTTCCTGCTGCCTCCCCCACAGGCATCCATGCTCTGTCCTATTCTCACTGCAGTGCACCAAGGCTCAGTGAATGCCCTCAAAGCCAAAATCCCCAGTCTTTATGTCCAATCCTTGCCTCTCCTGTACCCCACTGCTGTATGTCCTCCTGCTTCCTGCCTTGACTTTCAAACTTAGCGCATCCAGAATAAGATCATCAGCTCTTAACCTCCACTTGCTTGTTCCCACCTCTGCCTGGAAGATCCCTACTCAACCTTAAGAACCTCCTTCAAATGACCTCTCACGTATGAAGCCTTCCTTACCACCCATTTTTTAGCAGAGTTGGCCGCCCCCCCTCTTCTACATGCGCTTTCATCACAGATGGTTCTATCTTCTGACTGTCTGAAATTACCCCATCACCACCACTACAAGCCCTTTGAGGGAAGGCTGTACAAATGCAGGAGTCACTTGCCTGATCCCTGTGAATATCAGCACAAAGCCTGGCCCCAGGGGGGAAAAAATCAATTGATGGACAACTTGCTCCTGTCTCCTCCTACTGGGGGTCACTGGAAACAATCCCCTGCAAGGTATCCACTATCTGGTGGCAGCAGCAACCTGGCATGTCAGCCCTTATTGAAGGGACAGTAAGCAGGTTCCAGGATAGGGTCCCCAGCCCGCCACCTAAACCACCTGGCCTGAGACCCAATTATAAGTAAGCACTTGAGATGCCTTCCAACCTGCCACAGGTGCCTACAGTCCTCTCATCCCGCTCCTGTGTGATGTCTCGCCCAGGGACTGGGTCTGGACAGTGCCACCCTCCACAGCCCGGCATGCAGTAAGCCCACTGAACAAGAGATGCCCAAGCCCAGCCTGATCTGCTGTCATGGACTCCATATCTGCCCACAGCTCACCAGCCACTTGCTGCCCAGGCCTACAATATAATCAGAGGTGGGGTAGGTGTTTTTCCAAATCCACCCTATGTGAAAATCAGAACATGTCTCAGACTCAGCTTTTCGGTTCCTCTCCCTGCCTCTGGAGCTAGGCCACAAAGGGGAAGGGACAAGCCCAAGACCACACAGCCGGGCTGACACAGACCAGCTCCCCTCCATCCTCCACCCCACACCTCTCAGCAGAGGCCACATGAGAAAGCCAGTTCTCCCCAAAGGGGAAGAAGACAGATAAGACCAGGTGGCATTTACTGCAATGAACACTGACTCTGCACATGCACACAGGCTCCAGCCGGCTCTGGGCCCAGAACATGCAAACCTGCAGGGAAGCCAAGCTGGGCAGAGTCTGAGAGGACCAGAAGGGCCTGGGAAGGCTGTGAGTGCCCCCAGAACCCAGGTTGCCCACCAGAGAGCTCGGTGGGTTTGCTGGACCAGGCCTGCAGTGGTGCAGACCTGCAATCTACCAGCCTTCCCACTGGCTGCCAGTCCCAGGATAGGCAGACCTGCTGTCACCTGTGTCACCACTCCACCACCTGTGACCTCTTCTGTTTTGAATAAGGTAATGTCTATTAACCAGTTCCGGGTGTGGGTCACTGTGCACTCTCCAGCACCTTGTGTAATTCTCACTAGGACCATCCCCCCATTTCACTACGGAGGAATGAGGCTCCAAGGTCTCACACTGGGGAGAGGTGAGATTTGAACCCAGCCTTGTCTGACTCCAAAGGCTTGCTTTTTTCCACTCAACTCTACTCGCTGACAAAATGCAGCTCAGCCCGAACGCTCTTAGATTTACCTTCCCTAATGCCCAAGGCCTCCAAATCCTGTTACCCTGGTCCTTGCCTGTTTCCCTGTGTTCACATACTGTCCAATTGTTCCTTTGTACCTCTGCTCTCCCCTCCCCTCCCGTGAGCCTGAATCTCCTCTGTGGCCTCCAAAGTGATCCCTGAGGTCCCAGCTCAAGCCGCAAGATTCTCCTGCTGAGAAGCCTCAGTGGCTCCCTGCTGCTACAGCCACAGCTTAACTCTCCAGCCCCTGCTGACCTGTCCAGACCCATCTTCCCCTTTCCACTGGACAGACAGCAAAGCATGCTGCAAGGCCACGGGACCAGCGGGAAGGGCACAGACTCTGGAACTGGACAGATATGAGTTTGGTTCCCACCTCTGCCAGCCTCTTGCTGTCTGGCCCTGGGCAAATCCCCTCA